TCCTAAATACTGTATAGTCGCCCACTCACCGATGCGAGCGGCTTCCAGTTCCGTGTGTGCCGTGGCCAGTGAGCTCTGTAGCATCTGGTTCTCTTGCTGCAAGTCCTGCAGCTCATTGTTGTACGTAGACATCATCTCATGTGTCTTGGCTTCTACGGCATCTCGTTGGCTCTCTCCTTCACTGTAGAACAACAATAAGGCGCACGGGGTAGAGTATGCGTTAGGATGATCTGCGATGAAACACCTCCCTAGCCGTAAGCCGTAAGCCCTAAACCTTACTGGCCGTAAATACTAACGCACACCCACATCTATACCACTCTGGGAAAATTTACTTAACAGGTGTACCCGTGTGACCTGATATCGATTTACTTAACAGGACACAGACAACAGAACGAATTGCGCTTACCTTTCTCTGAGTGTCTTGATCTCTGCCCTCAACTTCTTAACCGTCAGCTCCTGGTTCTTCACTTCCATTATTTCGGATTCGTACAATTCTAATTTGGCCTTTTAAATTTTGAGAATCAAACGGAAGCAGGACGCAGTATGAGGGTGATCAGCCGTAGTAGATTAAAGCTAATAGCAATCAGGACGATCACATCTTGATACCTAATTCAAAAACAAAACAAATAAAAAAACAGTAAAAAGTCTAAATACGGGTTAGCCAATCTTCACTCAAATCTGCAGCTAGCCCTCGCAGCACTCCTGGTGCACAGAACAGAGCAACCAGTGCTTAAACAACCATGACACTGCGATGCAAAAATGTTTAAGCCATACAGCAGCACAGAACAGAGCAACCAGTGCTTAAACAACCATGACACTGTGATGCAAAAAACGTTTACGCCATACAGCAGCGCATAACAGAGCAACCAGTGCTTGAACAACCATGACACTGTGATGCAAAAACGTTTACGCCATACAGCAGCACATAACAGAGCAATCAGTGCTTAAACAACCATGACACTGTGATGCAAAAAAAAATACGCCGTACAGCAGAAGGCATGTCGGGTCGACATCACAACTTGTGGTCAGGTGTAGATGCCTATACCCAGGACATTTACAGGTATTAGTAAACACGGGATATCTACATACGCTAGCAGGCACAATATATTTATTGATTATTTTATTGGTAAACAGGGGATATCTACATAGACTAGCAGGCACAAAATACTTATAGATAATAGTATTAGTAAACACGGGATATCTACATAGACTAGCAGGCACAATATACTTATTGATGTAAGTATTAGTAAACATGGGATATCTACATAGACTAGCAGGCACAATATATTTATTGATAATAGTATTAGTAAACATGGGATATCTACATATGCTAGCAGGCACAATATATTTATTGATTATTTTATTAGTAAACAGGGGATATCTACATAGACTAGCAGGCACAAAATACCTATAGATAATAGTATTAGTAAACACGGGATATCTACATAAATTAGCAGGCACAATATACTTATTGATGTAAGTATTAGTAAACACGGGATATCTACATATGCTAGCAGGCACAATATATTTATTGATTATTTTATTAGTAAACAGGGGATATCTACATAGACTAGCAGGCACAAAATACTTATTGTTAATAGTATTAGTAAACACGGGATATCTACATAGATTAGCAGGCACAATATACTTATTGATAATAGAGCTAGTAAACACGGGATATCTACATAGATTAGTAAGCGCAATATATTTATTGGTAATAGTCGGTCCAACCGCGATACGATGCAGCCAGGGCACCATCATATTCATACGGATGGGGCAGCTCATAGGTTTGTAGAGAGAGATAGAGAGAGCGCTTATACCAAACACTCATGCACGTATAAAAAGGGAACAAGTATACAGCGAGTCATCAGCATGTTTATTTTGATTTTTACCTACATAGCGCAAAGCCGTAAACGAGAACTTTACTTAACAGGGAGAGGGCATAACACACCTTTAGTTTTTCATTCTGGATAAGCAACTGGGTTCAATACACCTTTAGTTTTTCATTCTCGATAAGCAACTGGGTTTAACACACCTTTAGGTTTTCATTCTCGATAAGCAACTGGGTTTAACACACCTTTAGTTTTTCATTCTCGATAAGCAACTGAGTTTAACACACCTTTAGTTTTTCATTCTCGATAAGCAACTGAGTTTAACACACCTTTAGTTTTTCATTCTCGATAAGCAGCTGGGTTTCCGTGCTAGTGCTGGCTGGTTTGATGCTGTGCATGCGAATAGAGGGACACACAATGGTATCAGAGAACAATACCCTTCCAGGGAGATACAACTGACTCTAATGTCACATGCACGTACATAGCAAACGCACATGAGGTATCTGTACACGTGCATGTCCACAAGGCACACGATGCGCCCCGAGAGAGAGAGTGAGAGAGTGTGTACCATCCCATTCAAGGTGACTCGCACAGCAGCTATGCTCGTATCTAACATCGCTATTGTCATATGAACTAGCCCTATAACTAAGTTGGACCTTCGCTGTCTCCCCGACATAGTTCACTTGAGATTGTGTTGTTGCATATCATCGAGTGCATTCGCACAAGATTATAACGTAGCGACAAACTCGTTTATACGCATACATACACGCACAGACATATGCATACACATACACGCACAGACATATGCATACACATACACACAGAAGTACACAAATATACATACACATACACACACATATATATATATATACGCACGCACGCACACACACACACACACTCACTCACTCACACTCACGCACACACACATACACACACACACACGCACACACACACAACACACACATATGGCAATAAAGGAAGGATATGGGAATGTCCTACACACGGTGTTCCTGCTGTGTGTTGCATGGGCGAGGATAACTCTGAGTATATTCTCGTGTTCAAATATAATATGTGAGATTGACTCAGAGCAGATATGTACACGTAAATGAACAAACATTGATATATCCAGAGATACAGACATATATAAGAGAATACAAAGATACATGGATATATAAATGCATTTTATATATATATATATATATATATATATATATATATATATATATATATATATATATACTATAATACATATACATA